CCGGTTCTATGGGCATGGCAGGGGAAGGATACTGCAAAATCTCCATTCCCACCCCATTCCAGGATACTGCAAAATCCCCATTCCCACCCCACTCTGGGAATGACCAGACAGAGGTGGTATTTGCTCCAAACGACTCAAAATTTCCGCTACTGGTTCTCCAGAACCTGCTGGATTGCACCCCTGATCTTGAGCCTATTTTCTGGGGTGTTGGCTATTCCTGCCAGGCCGGTGTCACCTGCAAATTTAACAACTTTCCCTTTTATTCCTATACACATCTAAATCGGTTATGAAGATGTCGAAAAGTACTGGGCCTAAAACGGAAGCTGCTACCCCACTGCTTACTTTCTTCTATGTAGATATAGCTCCGTTGAGGGCTATATGGAGTTAACCAGTTACAAATCCACCTGATGGTGATGCTTTCAATCCCACATTTTTTTAGCTTACCAAGAAGGTGGTTGTGGTCTACTTTGACAAATGTCATACTGAAATCCAAGTATATTTTGTCCCCTGCATTTCACTGGTTCACTAATTTAGTCACTTTCTCAAAAGAAAATGTAATAAGATTTATTTGGTATGATCTGTTTTTGACAAACCTGTGTTGGCTTCTGGTAATAACTTTGCTTGAAAAAAGTATGCATTCTCTTTTTCTGTTATTCCATGGAATCCCTCATCTCTCTTTGATGCCAGGCAATGAATTTGGAGGCTGCTTAGGTGGGGGGTGTTGGTGGAACCAGATTGGTTCCTAGTGCCTATCTTTGGTTTGAAAATGCAAACCCTCCTTCTGTTGGATGGGAGAGCTTTTTGGATCACCTCCCTGCCTAGGAGACCCTGAGCCGTGCCTTGGTTGGCTTGAATGTTGATCCAAACCGGAAGAAGGCAATTGCTAGGGAGAGAGAGAGTGTGTGTGGGAGGCTGCCCGCCCCCATTCAGTTCAGTTTATGATTACTTCTGCTTTCCACCTTAAGATTTTGCTGCCTGCAGAATTGGCAAAATGAAACCAAAGCCTTAATTTCCAACAGCAGTACCAATGGGTACTGGGGAGGATGAAGGTGGAGAAAAGGCTTGGCTGCTGCACTGAGGAAGGGACACCATCCGGAGGACCAAAGGCGGAGGAGAGGGCCAGGCGCTGACGGGGCGGGGATTGGGGGGGGAGGGCATTGCCAAATGGGCTGATCAGATTGGCGCTTCCTCCCCCCCCTCAGCAAACCGTTGGAAGCGCTCCAGCCTCCTGCAACGCCATCTGCAACCTTTGCACTTGGCAACTGCGGATGCCCAGGACTTCGTTTTGGGTCTGGCAAATGGGTTGATATTCAATCTCTCTGCATTGTGATTTGTATAATTTAAATATTTAATATGGTAATGTTTAATGATTTTTAATAATGATTTTATACTGATTGTTTTTTGTATATTTGCTGCTTCAATTATTTTTGTATACCACCTAGAAGTACTATCTTGTGAGATGGGCAATCATATCAATGTAATAAATAAATGTTGCACATATATTACATTGCATGTAATAAACAAGTTTTTCAAACAGGTATTTCATAAAGTAGAAAACATTTTGTATCTGAAAGTTGTTATGATCAATTCCCCCTGTCCCCCCTCAAAAGCCCAGGGGGGAAAAAACCCCTTTCATCCATTTACTGATTTAAGTCTTTAGGGCTCCCCCCTCTCCACAAAGAGTTGGGTGGGCCTCCCCCCCCCATTGCGTTCTCACTTGCAACCCAAGGCAGCTGCTGCCTTTAAGCAGCTTCACAGGCATTGGAAAGAGTCTCCTGCAAGTGCAGCACTGACGGCCTCATGGCACCGGCTGCTCTCAGCCCTTTCCAACTCATGGAATTCTAGGGCAGCGTTAACTTCTTGGTAATACTTTCAGCAAATTATTTTTCTAAAGTGCATTCAAATTGACAGAACTGGAGAAAGGGATAGAATGGAAGCAATAAACTTTTGTTTTAAAATTACCACTTTCCTCCTCGTGAGAACCATTTTGGTCTCGCGGTTAAGGTGTAGGCGGTTGGAAGGGAAGAATTTAGGGGTAGGTTTTGGCCAGCCCTTCCCTCCCCCATTGTCTAAATCTCTTTTGGGGGGATGGTGAGCCTCCCTGTTCCCCACCTTCATAGTATCTGAACCAAGATGGGCTGATGGACTGAGGCCTTTTACCAAGCATAACATCTGCTTTTTTGCAGCCACACAACGCTTTCGGAAAGAGGAAAAGGGGTGTTGGAGTTTCAGAGAAGTTCGTGACATTCATAGCAGCTCTGAAGAGTTTTAGTTTGCGTCATGGACTCCAAATGAAAGCAGATGCTGAAAAACCTAAAATAGATGACTCTACACAAAACAGATGTCAAGCCAAGCCAATATCTCCATTAGCAATCATAGCATAAATAGATAGACGTACAATGTAAAACTAATTGGAGAAGCTCTTGCAGTTCACCTTCATTTAATTCCAAACTGGTAAAACGTCTGCAGCCCACAAATGCCAACCCCTAGGTCCTCACATGTCCTTCTGAAAGCAACAACTCCCTTGGGCAAGACAGCAAGAGCCAGGAGCACCGATGCCTCCAGCATGGCCAATGGGACGCTGCAGGCATTGGTCGCAATGGCACCTCTGCAGCTCACTGGCTGGACCAGGCAGGACTCAGCGGTTAAGCTTGCCTACAAGACAGTTGGGGAATAAAAAATAGAGCCAAACCCCGAACTGATGAGCCCACCCGCAAATTCATGTAGACAGAAGGGGAGACAGCATTGACCCCTGAGGGTCACCACAAGTAAGGGTCCATGGGCACATTCTCTTCCCCTCCTGTCCACACTGACTGAGACCGACCACTGAGTAAGGATCCGACCACCTCGCTCTCCCAACTCCATAGCCGAATACTGTGGTCAAAGGTATCAAAAACTGGGAGAAATCAAGGAGCACAAAGATGGATACACCGGCCCTGTCCCAGTTCTGTCCAGGGCATCCACAGGTATAATCAACTTTATCTCCACACCGTTCTCCAGTCTGACGCCTGACTGAAATGGGTTGAGATATCCTCTGCAATTGCCGTTCAGCCACCTGCTCCACACTTTCCCCCCAAAAGGGAAGGTTGGAAACCGGCTGATAGATATCCAAGATGACAGGGCCCAGCGGTGGCCTCTTAAGGAGCGGACATACCACTGTCTCCCTCCAAGAGCTAACATGGCATGCATGCATTACCTGGTCCCTTCATAGGCGGCCTTCCCAGGCCAAGAGGGCCTGGGATCTATGGACTGCTTGGAGGATAATCCAAGGGCAGTTGGATTGCTCCATGGGCAGTTGCCTGGCATAGCATTGGATCAGTGTATATGAGGAAACAAGATCCCAGACAGCAGCTACCTAAGGGTTCTCTGAGGGCAGGGATTCCCCAGGTCTCAGGCTTTCAAAGGCAGGTGTGTCAGCCCTCCTAGCCAGATTTAAGGGTAGGGCTGTCATTGGGGTGCGATGTGGAATATCAGCCCCTGCCCAGCATCCCACAAGGGCAAGGCTAGTGAGGCTTGGGGGGGGGGGGAGCAGGCAGCAGGATGTGGGCTACACTGCCATCTTTTCTCCTGAGAGGAATGGCCCAGGGCAAGTGTCTGCATGGGGGGCTGAAACCTTGCCCTGCAGTTGACTTGAGGTTTTGCTGTTTATGTCAGGTGGACCCACAATTGTGCTGATAGCAGTTTGGGTGAAATCTGCTCCTGTACTGGCATGGTTCATACAACATGCTGCCCCAGCCATTACTTAGTTAAGCACATGGTATGAAGGAGACCATGGAGTCTTTGGCAGAGCTTGGTTGCAGACCATTCCTAACCCAGAGGCCATCCCTGTGGGTCCTCGTCTCCTCTCCCAGCAGAGGAAGCGAAGCCAGCTGGCTTAGCAGATCGCCCTGCCTTGCCGCCTGGGAGATGGAGAGGATGGCATCCAGCACCTCCCTTCCAGAGAGGAAGAGAAAGGCAGCCGAGCCCTTTCCGCTGGGAAGTGCTGGCTTCCTTTGGCCCAAATGCCCCCTCCCCGTCACAGGCTTTATAAGCAATGGGCTCCAGGGGCCATGGATCTGCAGAAGCCGTTGCTGAGCTTCTAGCAAAAGGAGAAAAGACTCAGCTTCTAGTCCTTATTAAAACAGGCTGTGAGGCCGAGCTCAAATCCAACCTGGATGGGGTGGGGGTGGGGTGTGTGGACAGCAGGGTAGCATTTGGGCCAGAAGCGTTTTTGAGAAGCAAGAGCAAGATGGGGGTTGAGGAAGCTGTGCCACCAAACCGTAAGCGAAAGGTCCTGCCTAGGAATAGGGCGCAGTCTGCAAACTTCACCAAGGAGATGACCTTCTTTTCAAAGGACGGAAAAACCGGTGAGACCCAGGAGGCAGAACAAGATCCTCCCCACCAGGGTTGTTTGCACAACATGCTGAACTGTGAGCGAGCAAACCATGGTTAGCTGGAACTGCAGGATTTATGAGTTTTCTAGGCTGGAAAGGGGTTGGCTGAATGGGGTCTGGTGGGTTACAAGACCCCAGCCAGGGCCTCCTGGAGAGTCTGTGGCTGAGCTCACAACTCAGCACCCTGGTGGCAAGAAAGGGGATCCGATTAGCCGCTCTGGGAGGCAGAAATCCAGCCCTTTTGAGTCCTCCTGCAGCTCTTCCGGCTTTCCCCTAGAATCCTTTTGTCTTCAGCTGAGGAACATCCCCATCTAGTGGCATTTTTTGAACAACAATGAAATAGATTTAGAGAAAGCCCATTCCTGCCTAAGATGGATGCTGCCCGTGCCTTTGGGCTCGAGGTAGGCGTTGCCAGGCTGCAAAAAGAAGGACGAGTGGAGAACAGAAGGAAAGCCAAGGAGCTTCTGCCCTGAATTCTAGCAGCAACAGCTGCTACATAGCAGGAGCAGTTTAAGCATTGCAGGCTGGTTTTGGTTCATGTTCTTCAGGCTCCAGCTTCCATCCCAACTTTTTTTTTTTTTTTTTTACAGAATACTGCTGTAATGGATTTTTGTCACTGCAGCTGACTTCTTCAAATATAACAAAACCTTGTATTTGTTATGTTGCTATTAAATGAACACTACAGGTAACTACAATTATTTAGGGTATATAACCCAGAGGCTCAGAAGTGAACGCAGAATGGTCTGTATGATAGAAGTCCAGCCCTGGAAGGAAAAAGGGGTTTGCTTTTTTGCTGGGAACAGACCCCTTTTGCTCAGTGTTGGTCTCTCCGAATGGTTGAAATCACTAGAAAATGCTGCACAGATGAGAGGGTATAGGAAGGAAACTCTAAAAAATTCCCCAGAAACCTACCGGACCCTCTTGCTGACAGTGGCCACTGTCTGGGAGGCAGCAAAGGAGACGGGGATGAGAGTTTTAGGACGGGTGATCTCCTGCACCTGGGCTCCTTGCTCCAGCAGCCAGGGGCCACCGATGGAATATGTTCTCCATGGAACATGAGCACAGCTCTCTTGGGAGAGGCTGCCATTGTGTCCAATAGGCGGCGGGGGCGGGGGGGGGGAATGTTCTTGAATGCAAGGAGTCCAGTCCACTGTATCATTCAATGCTGCTCTGGCCCTTCTCCTGTCCTCTTGATCTGCAAGATGTCAAAGCCCAGCCCTCCAGATGCTGCTCAGATCCAGGCGGACAGGCGACACGTTCAGATGAGTCCCAAAGGAGAAGCAGTTTCCACCACCCCAGTAAGAATAATCTCCTCCATGTCGGGCACAATGACACTGCTATGGTTGTGTAACATCAGAGGCCACTCCAGAAATGTCTGCAACAGAAGAAAGCGACAAGAGGCAACTTTAGGAACCAGGCAGCTGAGAACACAATGACAAATCTGCCTTCCCTCTCATCCCCCCTTAAGGGTGGGCATTAAGTGGTAAGTGGTGAGCAAGTGGGCTCCTGGTTAGATGCTACAGCAAATGTGAAGCAGGGCGATAGTCTCCACCTCTCACAAAGATCCCAAGAAGATCCAGGCACATCAAATCACAGCGCAGCACTTCCTGCCAAGTCCACTTTTGCTCCTCTTCATCCCCAGCACACAGGAGCCAGCAGCCTCCCTTCCCAGTGTTCCTTCTCTAGCCTCGCCTCTTTCTTGGTCTGAGCTCCTGCTGCCTCTGCTCTTGGCAGCTTTGGGTAAATTCTGGACCTGCTCATGCGAGTAGCTGAGCGATATGCATCTTGCCTCTTCCTCATCTTGTAAATTACAGGGCATTCAGAAAGTATTCAGACCCCCTTCACTTTTTGTCCATTTTGTTATGCTGCAGCCTTATTCTACAGTTGTTGAAGTTTATTTTCTCATTCATCCACACTCACTACAAGCTTTGCACACCTGGATTGGGGGATTTTCTGCCATTCTTCCTTGCAAATCCTCTCAAGCTCAGTCAGGTTGGATGGCGACTGTCGGTGGACAGGCATTTTCAACTCCCTCCAGAGATGTTCAATAAGGTTCAAGTCAGGGCTCTGCTTGGCCACTTTAGGACATTCACAGTTGTCCCTAAGCCTGTTGTCTTGCCTGTGTGCTTAGCATCACTGTCATGTTGGAAAGTGAACCTTTAGTCCAGTCTGAGGTCCTGAGTGCTGAGGAACAGGTTTTCATTGAGGATATATATATATTTGCTTTAATTTATATGCCGCCCTTCTCCGGAGACTCAGGGCGGCTTACAATGTGTTAAGCAATAGCCTTCATACTTTTGTATATTTATACAAAGTCAGCTTATTGCCCCCACAATCTGGGTCCTCATTTTACCTACCTTAGAAAGGATGGAAGGCTGAGTCAACCTTGAGCCTGGTGAGATTCGAACTTGCAGTAATTGCAGACAGCTGGTGTTAATAACAGTGCTTTAGTCCACTGTACTACAGGCTCTTCTTCTATCTTCTATCTACAGGATATCCCTGTACTTGCTTGGCTTAGCTTTCCCAGTCTCCCTGATGCTGAAAAACACCCACACAGCATGATGCTGCCACGACACTTCACTGTTGGGATGACATTGGGCTGTTAATCAGTGTGCCTGGTTTCCTCTAGACAGAACGTTTAGAATTGAGGCCAAAGAAGTCCAATCTTGGTTTCATCAAACCAGAGAATCTTGTCCTCACAGTCTGAGAGTTCTTTAGGCGCTTTTTTGCAAACCCAAGAGGGCTTTCACGTGTTTTGCACCGAAGAGTGGCTTCTGTCTACCCACTCTGCCATAAAGCCCAAATTAGTGGACAGCTGCAGTGATGATTGTCCTTCTGGAACTCTGTCCCATCTCCACAGCAGAATATCTGGAGCTCAGTCAGAGTGACCATCAGGTTCTTGGTCATCTCTGTTACTAAGGCCCTTCTCCCCCGATTGCTCAGTTTGACCAGGTGACCACCTCTTCAGAGTGTCCTGGTTGTGCCAAACTTCTTCCACTTGAGAATTATGGAGGCCACTGTGCTCTTAGGAACCTTCAGTAGCTTTTGCTCTACTACAGTATGTATTTTCAGCTGTGAGGCCTTTTATAGTGAGATGTGTGCCTTTTCAAATCATGTCCAATCAATTTAATTTACCACAGGTCAACTGCAATCAATATGTCAGCAACGAGCAAGAGAACTGGGAGGCATCTGAGCTAAATTTCAAGTGTTGTTGCAAAGGGTCTGAATACTTATGTGATATTTCAGTCTTTTCTTTTTAATAAATGTACAGACATTTCTAAAATTCTGTTTTCATTTTGTCATTATGGCGTACTGAGTGTAGATTAATGAAAAAATGATTTTCAACAACTGTAGAATCAGGCTGCCACATAACAAAATCAACAAAAGCGAAGGGGGCCCAAATACTTTTCTGAATGCACTGTAAATCCCATTCCTGGACTCAGCGTGGATTTGAGGCAGAAACCACAGTGCCCCCACCCCAATTCTTTTCTGATGTCTGTTCCTGGACACATGATTTATCAGTTCAGAACTGCATCTGTAGCAAGGCTCCTGAGGAAAAGGAGCAAAGACCATCAGGACAACTCCTAAAGTTAACTACTCTTATGGCTCTAAGAAGAAAGGATTTGTATTCTTCCAGCAGTTGTGAACAGCAAAACAAGGGCAGGATTGAGCTTGGCCTAGGAACACCTATCTTCTGCAAATAAATTTAATTCTCTGGAGCTGAAGAACTGCATCCAAGAGTACTTGCTGATACTCTGGCAACTGCACCCACCATCTTCCTTGGAAGACAACTGAGCTAATGAACCAGGTAATATTTCAGGAGGAAAATACCAGCATCAATACCAAAAGAACAGCCTCTCCTGCCGCTGACCCTGGCCAAGGTTGCTTTGCCTCCGTGGGGAGAAGAGCCAAAGGGAACCTCAAGTCCCATTGCCTCAAAGTTTCAACTCACTGTGTCAATACGATACTCCGCTAGAGCCCTTGTCGCCAGGTCTATCATGGCAACGCCTGGCACTGAAGGAGGGCTGAGCCAGACCCCACCCACGAGCAACAGTTTCCCACAGTGCACGTGAGCCGTGTGTGAATACCTGGGCAGAAGACACAAAAGAGAGGGAGTGTTAGTCCTCTAGTACTGGGCCAGTTCCAGTTTCTCCAGGCAGTGAACATCAACAATGGATGCCTGGCAAGAGAGAATGAATTCTTCCAATCCACACAGCAATGGGCACCTCCAGCATGGGCGCCCATCCCCCCCCTCCCCGAAAAATCCTGAGAACTTGAGTCATCATTGCCAGGAGCTGCCGCCTCCTGCTGGGCGCCAGAGAGGTGATTCAGCTCCCTCACACCTCTGGCTACATCTGTCCTGGGGCTGTCCAAAGTCTGGAGGGCAGAAGCCATTTGTCCCTCTTCCTTGGCCCAGAAAATAATGCCAGGCGTTCTTCTTCCTTTCTTAGAAAGAGCCGGAAGGCAGCCCTGTAGTTCTGCCCAGAACATATCGTCTCCTTTCCTTTCTTCCTGGGAAAGCAGCTTCCTCCAAAGAAATTCTTCTGAACCAGGACTGAGCAAGTTGTGAGTAAACAGAGGTAAAGCTAACATGTGGTTCCCACTGGATCTTGCTCCCGCTTTCGACTGAAAGGGGCTGGATCAGAGCAGGGGACGGTGGGGGAATGCTCCACCTTTCCTTCTGCGAAGGTGAAAATGTGCTAAAGAGGAGGCCCTTCCTCGGAGCATTCAGAGACCCTTGGATTTTCTGTGAGCTCAGTGGTACTTGGATAAGGCCCGGTAAAGGAGGACACCCAGAATTTGTCCAAACCTGGGAGGGCATCCAAATTTGAGCAGCTGAATGAAAGAAGCTGACATAAAAAGTTCTGTTTGTTTGCAAATGTGATTAAGGCATCCAGCCAGAACAAAAACAGTTCAGATAATATTCTGTTCCAGATCAATGTGCCACATCCAAAGTAGAAGGAATGGCTGGGAAGGTGAAGGAAGGGAGGCCCAGTATCTAAGAATCAAACTGCTAATTCTGATGGAAAGACTGTGGAAAGACAATGTTTGTGAAAACAAAGAAAACAAACTGCCCCACATCCGCTTCCAAATAGGGAGTACAATTGTAATAATGTCCAAATTTGGGCATCAGAGTTCAGCATGTTGTCATTCTGATGAGTCCTCTAAGAGAAAAAAGGAAACAAAATTACTTTATCCAGCCCTCTCCAACCATGTGCCTGGACTCCTGGCACTTTCTCATCATCTTTCTTCTTCCCAGGTGCAGAGCTGACTGGCCTCCAGCTCTTCCTGAACCTGAACGGAAGGGCAAATCAAGTAGGAACAAGGAGCCAGAAGATGTGACCTTACTTGTGCTGAAAGGCTGAGTTTTTGTCATTTTTCCTGGCTGGTTTAAGATTTATACTTTTCCCACAAGTTTTATCTTCTTAAATACTGTTACATCCCCTGAAATGTGCAGAGTGAGTATATTAAGATAGGTTGTAGTGGATAAAGATATGCTTTATACCTTGGGAGATCCATTGCTGTTTGCCTCAGTGCTGGCTTTCCTGTTCTGGCTCTGTACTGTACAGGTAATCCTTGAGTTACAACCATTCATTTAGTGACCATTTGAAGTCTCTATGTCCTATACTCTATGAATTGTTCTGTCGGGAAATTTCTTTTTATTTCTAGGTCGGTTCTCTCCTTGATTAGTTTTCAGTCGTGGCTTCTTGTCCTGCCTTCAGGTGCTTTGGAGAACAGGTTGACCCCCCCCCTTCTTTGTGGCAACCCCTCAAATATTTTATCATGTATCATTATCATTATGAAATATGTTATCATGTCACCCCAGTCCTTCTTTTCATCAAAGTAGACATCCCCAATTCCAGCAATCATTTCTCGTGTGTTTTAGCCTCGGGTCCCCTAAGTTATCTTTGTTGCTCTTCTCTGCACTCTTTCCAGACTCTCAACATCTTTTTTACATTAGGGTGACCGAAGCTGGATGTAGTATTCCAAGTGTGGTCTTACCAAGGCATTATAAAGCGATACTAACATTTTGCATGATGTTGATTCTATCCCTCTGTTAATGCAGCCTAAGACTGCATTGGTTTTTTGGGCAGGAGCCACAAGTGACTGTCCACTAGGTCTCCTAGCTACGTCTCACAGATACTGCTGTTGAGCCAGGTACCACTTATTCTATATCTCTGGATTTTGTTATTCTTGCCTAAGTGCCTTAATTTTTTCACCACTGAATTCCATATATTCCAATTCCACAATCCATAACATCTAGAAGCTATAGCACTTCCACAAATACAACCGAAAATATGGATCAGATATTTCACCTTCACCATAATAAAAAGGACCAATTAGAGAACACCACAGAACCATCAACATTTTTAAAGGAATCCAGTTTACTAGAAAAGAAGAAAACAACAACTCACTACCCTTCCTGGACATCCTGATCAGCAGAGACCACAATGGCAATCAATCAATCAATCAATCAATCAATCAATCAATCAATCAATCAATCTATCTATCTATCTATCTATCTATCTATCTATCTATCTATCTATCTATCTATCTATCTATCATTTATTTATTGGTTCGATTTATATGCCACCCTTTTCTGGAGACTCAGGGCGGCTTACAATGCGTTAAGCAATAGCCTTCATACTTTTGTATATACCTGCTTAATAGGGCTTTCGCCCCCCCCCCCAAAGTGGTGTTCTTTTTTATACAAAGTCAGCTTATTGCCCCCACAAACCTGGTCCTCATTTTACCTACCTTTGAAAGGATGGAAGGCTGAGTCAACCTTGAGCCTGGTGAGATTTGAACTTGCAATAATTGCAGGCAGCTGAACTAGAAACTAGAAACGCAAGTCTACAGAAAACCCACCCATACTAATCACGTGCTCTACTACCAACTAAAGCCTTTCAAAACATCCTAAGCAAACCAAAAGACCCAGCAAAACCAGAAGAAAAAACAGGAGTCATCTACAGCATACAATGTAAGAACTGCAACAACGACTATGTAGGAGAAACAGGCAGAAGGCTGGCAGAACCATCCATGAACACCAACTGGCAGTCAGAAGACATGACAAAAATTCTTTAATTTCACAACATATAGACAGATTTAACCATAGTTTCAATTGTCAAAATATGTCAATCCTAGTCCAGACCAAATCCAAAAATGCCAGGGAATTTCTAGAAGCCTGGCACTCTGACAAATCAGCCATCCATAGACATTAACAACATCTATAGATAAGAGACAATCGGCCAGCCCAAAAGAGAAAAAGACTCCAGCACCTCTCCACCAATAATCAGATCATCATAGATTAACTACAAGGTCAACTTCAGACAATAATCTAGTAAGCAATACCCCAAATCAAGAAACTGCTGTCAGTAAATAGCCCAACCAAAGAATCCCCAAGACCACCCTCACTCACATAGACAGGCAAGACATCAAAATATAAACTGACAGCAAACAGCACTCCTTACTAGCACTGATGATGTTACCTAGTTAGGGTAATGAAAGAAAACAACCAAGCTCAGAGAGCACCAAGGACCCCCGCCCAATTTCCATATTATTGGATAGGGCACAGTGTTCGTCAAGATCCTTCTGGAGTGCAGTTTTTGATAGATTGGACTATTTTTCTTTTTGTGTAGACTGATGCAAACAATAAATTAAGCAATTCTGCTTTCTCCCTTCTGCCTGTCACCTCCCCATCTTCCCTCATTAATGGACCAATCCATTTCCTTGATTTTTTTGTTTTTTTACACATTGAAAATTTTTAAAAATTTATTTTGCCATTTGTTGCAAGCCTTTGTTCATTCTGAGCCTCCGCTTTCCTGACTTCATCTTTGCAGATTTGGGTTATATGCTGTTATTCTTAGTTATATATCCCTTTCCACTTTTTATTCTTGTTCGTTTTGTCTTTCAGTACCAGTTCTTTAGGCAGCCATGCTGGCTTCTTCTGGGATCTCTTATTTTTGTTTTTCACTGTGTTGGGCTAAACTGAGAATCTTCATTTTGAGAAGCATAAAGGCTCTCATTTGTCTTCCAGACCTTTTATCTGAAAAAACAAGTGGTCTCTAAGCAGGCACACTGACAAGGTTGACAGACCAGCCAGTCAACTCCACTCACCGCTCATCCAGACTCCCAAGGTTGAAAGAGACCTTAGAGGTCTTCAATGAAACTCTGCACTGGGCAGGAATCCTCATACCATCCCAGACAGCCAAGAAGGCGGAAGTGGAGGAGCAGCAGCAGCAAGACTCATTCCAGGCAAATATGGCCTCTTCTCGGGTATCGCTTGCTTTCCTGCTAAACAGCGCAAATGTTTATTTTTATATTAATTCCAGAGGAGAATGCCATTGGGATTCTTCCTACAAAGCAATTGTAGCTGTTTGACAGAATGTTCAAGGAAGTGTCATCTTCAGAAGGCCTGGGCTGAAAAACCGAGTCTGAGCAGCCATTGGACACAAACTTGAGGGCTCAGTTTGGAAGCTGGTTGCTGGCCAGAGAAGCTAAAAGCCCGGCAAGTCACATGTGGACCGTGCTGAGCGGATGGGGTGAGGCATGGCTTACTTACCTGGGCGTGAGAGGGGGGCAGGTCTCGAGAGAATGCCACCGGAAGCCTCTCCCGGATGGCTTCAGAAACAGGAGGCTGCCCAGCAGCTCCTCAGAGGCTGCTAGGCCGCCGGCGATAAGCACTCCCCCTGCCCAGCTGCAGGCACTGTGTGAGTGACGGCCGGCTGGAACGGGGCCCTCCACTGGAATCTGACAAGGGGGAGCAGAGGGGAGGCATTACTATACTGTAAGCTGCCCAGAGTAGCTGCATTTGTGAGATATGGGGCACAGAAGCCCAATTCAAGCCAACGAGCAAGGCAGGAGCCAGCAGCCTTTCTTGCCCAGCTGAAGCGAAGGGCACCTCTGGCACTTCCCTGGAAGGAAGTGCCTGCCTGAGAGAGAGCTGGCAAAACCAGAGCTTCTCCCATAGCTGAGTTTTCACTGCCTTTTGCACAGATGCATGACAAAAAATTTTCGCTGGTAAGCAATGTTACGGAAAATGCCCCCCCCCTCCCCCAAGCAGCCTTCTGTGCCAACACAGGGCATGGATTTCTTAGTTGATGGTCGCACACAATAGTGGGTTAGCTTTCACACAGAACAGACTCACTTATCTTGTGGTGAAATAAGTGTGCCAAACTGAAAAATATTGCGTGTACAGAGGGGATGACAACAATATTATTGCCAACTGCTTCCTCTTCTGACCAAAAAGCACAATGTGAAACATGTAACGAAGTCCTCACTAAACCCCCACCCTTCCAAAGAGCTGGACGGCTCAACTAACCCAGGAGACGCTGCAAGAGCCATCAATCTGGACTGAAAGCAAAAGCGCCCAGCTATTGAAAATCACTGGCTGGCAAAATCTTACTATGTTTGTTACAAAGAAGTTTCCTTCTCCCAAGAATCCAAGTCAACCCTGGGGCGGTGATTTAGAAAACCAGAAGACTGGAGTAGGGTTAATGTTATTCCAGTCTTTGAAGATGTCCATAAGCAGACCCAGGAGGCAACAGAACAACCAACCTACCGATGCCTGCAAAAGTCCTGGAAAAGATAATCAAGCAGGGGTTCACAAGCCCTTTTGTTCCTTTCAAAGGGCTTGTAGATCTCTGCTTGATTATCCTTTCCAGGACTTTTGCAGGCATCGATAGATTGGTTGTTCTGTTGCTTCCTGGGTCTGATTGCTAGCAACCTGTAGTGTTTTTGTTAAAAAACAGGTCATGGTAGGCAAACCTTATGGCTATTTTGGACATGACCAGATCAGCTGGCCAAGATACCATCAGTAAGGCATGTGACCATTTGACCTTTTTCTTCACCAAATGGATGGCTGTATGATGGATGGCTTGACATCTGGGCCAGAAACCATCCACAAACTCTGGTCCTTAAACCTAACCTTTAGCCAAGAGAGGTGTGTAGTGGGACATGTCAAGCGTTCTGTTCTGGCTCAAGTTTAATACTTATTTGGAAAATTTATATGGCCACCCACTCACTCTCATGGCTTAAGAACAGTAAAAACCCAGCATAAGAGAATAAAAAAACTAGTACCTTCCCATCCACCCCTTGGTGACAACACACAATAAAATGAGTCACTCGATGGGCTCCATCCTGCTTTGGGTTCCCTAGGCCCATTGGCAGAACCAAGTCTTCCGGGCCTTCTGGAAGAGTGTCAAAGCAGGGGCCAGTCTAATCTCTGCAGGGGTGATATTCCAAAGACAGGGAGCCACCCTCTCTTATTTTTGCGCATGCTCAAAGATGGCGGCTCGCGGGTGAAGCTCCGATGTCTTGGGGCAATGTAGGAGCTATCTTGGATTCCTAGAGGGCCGAATTTCCAGCTGTCGGCCCTGGCCCAGCAGGTGAATAGGAGGACAGCCCGTTGTGAGCTTTTGGGCTCTCTCGAGTCGCTTGTGTGGCTGTCTGGAGCCGAGGAGCGCCGCGAGGCTATGGCGGCGCAGACGGGAGACTCGGAAATGGTCGGGGTGGTGCTTTTTGCCTTGGCGTCCCCCCAGCGGCGGCTGGATGGGGGTGGGGGGTGCGGTGGTGATGGCAGCATGTTGGAGCACCGCTAGACCCCCCCCCAAAAGCTTGGGGCTGCCAGCAGCAGCGGCGATGTTGGACGCAGCGGCTGTGGCGGCGGGAGTGAAATGGCCGCTGGGGCGATGCCGAGGGGAGGGGAGTGGCATGATCCTGATCGAATTCTTCGAACTCAGACTTTTCTCCAACTGGTCTATTGTCAGCTGTGGAAGGGGGAGTTCTGGCGGATTGATTTGGAGCTGCCCAGTTGGTGACCCCTCTGAAGACCTGGGATTTAAGGGGGGATTAGAAGATCTTGTGGAGACTAGAGGGTTTGGGAAGAGCTGGGCTATGGCGTGGATTGGCCTACCGCCCTGGTCCGTCTCCACCCCGCCTCTTCCCACCGCGGCCCGGTTGTGGCCGTTGGTTGGGATCACTATCATCCTGACTGGACCCTTCCTGCACTTGGACTCATTAGCCCCTAAAATGACTACAGTTGACCCCCGGTTCTGGCTATACCATCAGTATATCGACATCTGTAATGCCTTGCTGCGAGGACAGGTTTAAGCCTGGGCGTGGGCACCGAGGGAGTCACTTCTGTTGCAGCTGTCACCGAATAAGATCTGTTACCAGCCGCCGTGAGAGGGTGGCTTGGTCACTGCTTTCCTGGGGCAGTGGCCTGAGACCCCTCTCCACTGTCGTGAGAGGACAGTGGAGCCCGGTTGACCCGTGCCGGAATGGTGAACTTTCTCTCCCGGACCTTTTTCTAACCATCACCACTGAATCCTTGGACTCATTCATCTTCCCCAGACAGACTTTAGGATGTATTCACCGGCTGAGCTCTTCGCGCTGCGAGACTCCCCCCTCTCGCAGGCCTGGCCCTCCATGTTATCGAGGGCCTATCTTGATGACAGGTTTTGGAACCCCGAGAGATGGCATGTAGCGAAGAGGGGTTTTTATCTAAATTTTTAATGAAAATTTTAAGGGGACCCGGGAGGAAGGGAGGGGGTTGTAAAGGTGGACCGGGGGGGGGGTCCAGATAGCCACTGAGTGGGGTGATGGGTCGATCAGCTGCAGCAGAGGGGTCGTGGAAAGAAATTTAACCGGGGAGCAGGGGGGCGACAGGAAGGGCAGTGTAACTGAAATGAGTGGGAGGGGCAGATATGAGGGGCACAGGGGGCCATATCATGTTTCGGGAGTACGCTCTTGCTGTTTATGAGCAATTGCGCACTCCGGCCCCCAATGCGCGACTCGTGTCCTGGGTTGCACAGAGTCTCAGGCCCTGGATCCGCGGCTGATGTTGTATAATGCCAGGTCGGTTGTTAATAAAGCCCCCCTCATTTGTGATATTATGGAGGGGGGTGCGGACCTGGCAGGTATTACGGAGACCTGGTTAGGCCAAGAGGGAGGGGGTCCCCCTCATTGAAATATGCCCACCAGGTTTCTGTGCATTTCATTAGCCAAGGGCCCAAGGGAGGGATGGGGGAGTGGTGGCGATTATTAGGGAAAGTCTTTGTCCGAGGGAGACCACTGTTCCTCAGATAGCTGGATGTGAGTCCCTTTTTTTGAAGTGGGGCCGTGGGGTGCAGATGGGTCTGCTGACTACGTACCTGGATCCCTGCCACGTGGCGGTGACCCTGCCCGAGCTGCTCGATGTTATTGCCAGGGTGCCGGTTGATACCCCCAGACTTATTGTCATGGGGGATTTCAACCTACCATCCGCAGGTGAGACGTCAGAGGCGGCTCTGGAGTTCATGGCTTCCATGGTGGCCATGGACCTGACCCAGTTAGTTCAAGGCCCCACTCACATAGGGGGACACACTCTGGACTTGATTTTTGTCTCTGGTCAGTGGTTGAATGATCTTGGTAGAGGGGACCTAGATATCAAACCCTTGACATGGGCAGATCATTCGCTCCTTCACTTGGACTTTCCAGCCGTTTCTCCCCGTCGCAGGGAGACAGAACCAACCAGATGGTTCCGTCCCAGGCGCCTGATGGATCCCGAAAGGTTCCTGACGGAGCTTGGGCCGTTTCCTGAGACCCTGGCACACGACTCGACTGAAGAGCTGGTGGCCGCCTGGGAGAGTGCAGCCGCCGGAGCTTTGGATCGCGTCGTGCCTTTGCGGCCTCTGACCCGATGCCGATCTCAATTGGCTCCCTGGTTCCCTGAGGAGCTGAGAGAGATGAAGCGTCGGAAAAGACGCCTAGAGAGCATTTGGAGGACTAGTCAATCCGATTCCGACCGGACACTGGTGAGGTCTTATATCAAGACCTATCTAGTGGCGATAAAAGCAGCAAAATCTAACCATTTTTCTGCTTTAATTGCATCTGCAGAGAACCGCCCAGCCGCTCTGTTTAGGGTGACCCACTCCCTTCTTCGGGGGGGAGTGCGGGAAGACCCCTTACAGGGTCGAGCTGAGGATTTTGTGCAATTCCTGCATGATAAAGTCGCTCGGATTCGGGAAGGCTTGGACTCCGATTGGATGAGTCCAGGGGAGGAGACAAGGGCAGGTCTTGAGAATATTATCTGGGAGGAATTTGATCCTGTGGCTCCCAAAGATGTGGACAGGGTTCTGGGTAAGATTAGTGCTGCCACGTGTTTATTGGACCCGTGTCCCTCCTGGTTGGTACTGGCCTCCTGGGAGGTTACATGAGGCTGGCTCCAGGGGATAAGTGCTTCTCTGAGTGAGGGTGCCTTTCCCGCTGCCTTGAAAGAGACAGTGGTGAGGCCCCTCCTCAAGAAGCCTTCCCTGGACCCTGCTGAATAGCTAACTACCGTCCGGTCTCCAACCTTTGTTTTGTGGCGAAGGTTGTTGAGAGTGTGGTGGCACGACAGCTTCCCCGGCACCTGGATGAAGCTATCAACCTGGGCCCGTACTAGTCGGGCTTCAGGCAGGGGTACAGCACAGAAACGGCATTGGTCGCGTTGGTGGATGATCTCTGGAGGGCTCGGGACAGGGGTTGCTCCTCTGTCCTGATCCGATTAGATCTCTCAGAAGCTTTTGATACCATCGACCATGGTATCATGCTGCAGCGGTTGAGGGGGTTAGGAATAGGGGGCACCGTACTGCGGTGGTTCTCCTCCTTCCTCTCCGACTGTTCAGTTTGTGTTGGCAGGGGGGCAGAGGTCGACCTCGAGGCGCCTCGCATGGGGAGTGCCGCAAGGGTCGGTTCTCTCGCCCCTTCTGTTCAATATTTATGTGAAGCCGCTGGGTGAGATCATCCGTGGTTTGGGGGTGAGAGTCCATCAGTACACTGATGACACTCAGCTGTACATCTCCACCCCAGACCACCCCAACGATGCCCTTGATGTGATGTCTCGCTGCCTGGAGGCCGTGCGGGTCTGGATGGGGAGAAACAGGCTCAGACTCAACCCTTCCAAGACCGAGTGGCTGTGGCTTCCGGCGTCCCGATATAGCCAGCTGGTGCCATCGCTGACTATTGGGGGTGAATCTCTGCCCCCCACAGAGAGGGCTCACAATCTGGGTGTCCTCCTGGATGCACGGCTGTCTTTTAAAGAGCATATGACAGCCGTGGCCAGGGGGGCTTTTTATCAGGTTCGCCTGATTCGCCAGTTGCAGCCCTTTCTGGACCAGGACACCTTGCGCACGGTCACTCATGCCCTTGTCACCTCCCGGCTGGACTATTGTAATGCTCTCTACATGGGGCTCCCCTTGAAGAGCACTCGGAGGCTCCAACTGGTCCAGAATGCAGCCGCGCGGGTGGTTATGGGCGCAACCCGTTGTGCCCACGTGACACCCCTCCTGCGCGAGCTGCACTGGCTCCCAGTGGTCTTCTGGGTGCGATTCAAGGTGTTGGCTACCATCTTTAAAGCGCTCCATGGCATAGGACCCGGGTACTTTCGAGACCGACTTCTGCCACTAGTAGTCTCCCACCAGCCAGTTCGCTCCCACAGAGGGTCTCCTCAGGGTGCCATCGGCCAAGTTATGTCGGCTGGTGACACCCAGGGGGAGGGCCTTCTTTGTGGGAGCCCCAGCCCTGTGGAATGAACTGCCCCCGGAAATGCGTAAGATCTCCGACCTCAGGGTATTTTGCTGTGCCTTTAAGACCCTGCTGTTCCGCCAGGCCGGGCTATCAATATAATGATTTTAAATTGGATGTTTTAAATTTTGGGGAGTTTTAATATTGCCGAAATTATTTAATAATTTTAAATTATTTTAATTGCTGTCCTTGTGCTTTTAATAGGCTGTAAGGACTCAGGCTGTAGCCTGAGTCCTTCGGGAGAAGGGTGGTATAGAAATAAAATTATTATTATTATTATTATTGTTATTCAGGGGTCCCGCCAGATGGACCTCCTTAGGGGACAGGACCTGCAACATTCCTTGCTTTCCCACTCTGGTGGGTTGAGTGGATGTGACCAGCAAGAGACCGTCCCTGAGATAACCTGGTCCCATGCCATCAAGGGCTTTAAAGGTGACAACCAACGCCTTGAATTGCATCTGAAAGCAAATTGGCAGTCCATGCAGCTCCCGCAGGAGAGGTCACACACGTACACACCTTGGTCTGCATAAAACCGCTGCATTTTGTACCAACTGGAACTTCTGGATGCTTTTCAAGGGCAGCCTCCTGTAGAGCGCATTGCAATATCAAGACAGAAGGTAACTAGGGCACGAGTGATTGTAAGCAGGTATTGTTGGTCCAGGAAAGCGCATAACTGGCACATAACACACAGTTGCGCAAAGGCCCTCCTGGCCACAACTGCCACCTGCTTGTGAGTCTACCCACAGATTACACACTGGGTCTGTTGGGGCAGTGCCACCCCATCCAAGACAAAAGGTGTCAATTCTCCATGGATCAAAGAACCTCAAACCCAGAGCTATTCTCTCTTGCCAGGGTTCAATTTTAGCCCGTTGCTCCCCATTCAGCCCTTAACAGCCTCCAAGCACTGCGAGAGGGAGGTCATGGCATCGCTTACCTCACCATGGGCCAAGATACACAGCTGGGTGTCATCTGCATATTGATGGTATCTCAGTCCATGGTGACGGATGATCTCACCCAGCAGCTTCATGTAGATGTTTAACCGAAGTGGAGAGAATACCAAGCCCTGCAGATTGCCGCAAAGCAGTGGGCAAGGGCTGGACCTTTTGCTTGCTATCTACACTGACTGAGAGTTGCCACAGAGGAAAGGAGTGAACCAGGACAGCACAAATCCCCCACTCCCAAAGCCGCACCTGAAGGATACCAGGGTTGATGATATCAAAGGCAGCCGAGAGGTCAAGAAGGGATGTGCTACTCTCATCCAATCCTGCCAGAGATCATCAAAAAGTGCGGCCAATGCCATTTCCATCCCATATCCAGGCCTGAATCCTGACCCAGAAACCTCTGGAGCTGCCATGCAACCACCATTTCAATGACCTTCTTCCCCACCACAAAAGGGAAGATTCGAGACTGGCCAGAAATTATCCCATAGGGTGGAATCCAGTGATGGCTTCTTAAGAAGAGGGCAGACCAGAGCCTCCTTAAATTGCTGGGGGACTGCCCCCCCCTATGAGGAAGCATTACTCCCCCCCCCACCTATCACCTCCTGGGAAGCTTTCATAAGCCAGGAGTCTCAAACAGAGGGTTAGGGTTAGCTCAGACAAAAGGGGAGAAGAAGGATGTTCAGCAATCAGCAGATGATACAAAGCTTGGGGTGCAGGGGAGACGACAAATATCTCAGAAGAGGGTCAGGATTGAAAACAATCATTATAAACCTGAATATTAGGCTTTTTCCAACGAAGTGCTGTTCAGTGGCAACACATGTAAGGTTGTAAGAATAGATGGTTGTGGTCCTTGAGTAATACGCTCTGAGGAGGACCTGGGTGTGCTGCCAGAGGCATGAGCCAGCACGGCCTGAAGCTGCCCAGTGAGCTAATGCGATGTGGGCTGCCTCAACGGAGGCAAAGGGTCAAGATCACAGGAAGGGGCAGTTTCCCTGACACTGCACTGCGCAGGCCTCGCCTGGAAGACCATGTCATTTTGGCCACCTCGGTACCAGAAGGATGTTGAGGATCAGAAATGAGTGCAGCCGAGATGAGGAGGGAGGCTGTATCTTATTAAAAATGGTCACAGAAACTGGTTATGTGTGGCCTGAAGAAGAGAAGGCTCTGGGGGATGGGAACCCAGCCTTCCCCTACTTGAAGGGCTTCCCAGGGGAAGAGGCTGGGCGCATCTTCTTTGTGGGGCCCTGGGGCAGGACAAGAGCCCACTGGATGGAATGGAAGCTGGATGGAAGCCTTATGGAGAAAGATCCAAAAATTTCCTCACCACAAGAGTTCTCAAGTAGTCACTACTTGGAAATGCAGGGCCTCCAGCACTGGAGGTTTTGGGATGGCTTAAGGATTTCTGCAGGTCGGGGTTGGACCACACGTCCTTGCAACTCTAGGTTTCTGAGTTAGGGTTCAGGTTAGGGTTAGAATCCCCTAAGGTGTTTTACTTGGCCAGAGTTTAAGCAAGTTAGCTACCATTTCTGACACGGAGTAAAAGAGGATTGAGAAAGGAGTCCCCTGGGGCCCCAAGCTCTTCGGAGGAGCTCTTTACACTCTTCTGTTGGTGCAAGGGATGACACAGCTAACCTTCAAATCCAGGAACAACCCACCCATTTCCCAGGGCTCTCCATCCGATCCCCACAGCCAACAAAGAAACATCCTAAGGGGCTCTTGCAGGACAGGCTCCCGCATGGGCCCAAGGAGGCCTCAACCCATCCGCACCTGCTGACAGTGGAGCCCCTCCAAATGCAGAAAATGCCAATCGGTGAGCACCAACTGCCCAGAACTGCAGCCTCCGTAGATGAAGAGGTAAGCCTGTCCTACAAAAAGAGCAGAATGTTAGGCCCCTTCCTCTCTCCTCCTCCTAAGGCGCCTGATACACCTCAGGCCCGCTGGGGGGGAAGAGCCCCTCCCAAAGGACTGGGACCCCTGAGCTACAGGATCAGTGGACTTTGTTTTGAGGAGAATCTGGAGCATTTGCACAGCAGGTCACACAACTCTTTTTTGAACTGCTGGCAAAAGACTTTACTGCCCGAGTGTCTGATAAACTGGGGTGCTGAGCACAAGACCTAGGAGCAGTGGGGAGCGATTCCCAGAAGCCTCCAACTCGCCTTGGAAGAACAGCTGGGCTTCATCGGTGCCCTTCCCTGCCTCTTCCCCTCAGGGGGTGAGCTTTCCCTTCCTACCTTCATGAGTGACTTCTGTGGAGGTGTGTCTCCAGCGGGGCACGGAGAGGCCCTCAACAGGTGGCAGCGGAGCGAGCTCAATGATGGGGTTGCCGGGGCTCAAAGGATCGGCATCCGCCAGCCCCTTTAAGCAAAGGGGGGGCAGAGCAGGGCTCACTGGAGACTTACGGCCACCAAGCACGACAGCCCAGCCTGAGCGCAGGACGTTCACGGTGTGGAAAAGCCGCCCATCTGCGGAAGGAGAGAAGAAAGCTCTTGTAGCCAGGGAGGGCCCACTTGCCTGCACCAAGAGGTCCCCCCACCCATCCCTGTCGCTTACCCCAAGCCATTTCTAGCTCGGCCAGTCTGACTTTGTCGCTTCTCCAACCTTCCTGGTGCTTGATCAGAATATGCAGCTCAGTCAGGCGGCAGTGGCGCCCACCATGGTCCCCAAAGCCACCAGTGGTTAGAATTACGTCTGGGGCAAGGAGCACTGAGCAATGACCATAGCGCTTCAGGCCAACCACTGCCCCACCTGCCCCAACAAAGGATGCAGCCACGGTCCCAGCAAAGCAAGGTGCGCGGTGAGACAGGGGGGCTGCAAGGCAGAGAAAAAAAGAGCCACGTCATTCCAGCAGCAAAATGCAGCCACCCCAGCAGGCCAGGCAGCAGGGAGCCTCTCTGCTCCAGATGAAGGTGCCTGGGGAAAGACTGATTTGGGTCTGTAGGAAAAGGTTCCTGCACAAGGTTCCTCCACCAATTCCTTACTCAAACAATGAATCTTTCCTTGAATTTAACCAAGGTAAGAAAGGCCCTCTGCATCAGGCCGGGCTCATCTTAGCTGAGTGATCTGTGGCCAGCCAGATATCTCCGGGGAGCTCTCAACCAGGTTTGGAGGGACAACTTTATATCTCCATCATTTGGAGGCACACTGTCCCTCCCACTCCCCCCAAGCGAACATGGTGTCTTTGAGATCCGATCAATGTCCTGGTGAGCCACAGACACACACCGGTTCAGCCCCCCACTGCCATGCCCGTGGAAGCGAATGCCGCAGTTTAACCACAGGTGAAGAAGCGCTTCCTTTTCTTGTCTCCTGTACTAAATCCAGGCTGGTACTTGGAGAGGGGGAGAAAAATTTTTCCCTGCCTTGCTTCATTAGTGTTGTATTTACAAACCAGATTCTGGGCAGTTTTTGATAAGCAGAAAGAAATAAAACAACCTTATGTAGTCCCCAAAGTTCTTAAAAGGTACAATAAGCAAAATATAAAATACAAAACAAAACAAAACAATTCTGCACAAACAGGGCATCCGCTTATGCTGCCAATGCTTGATGAACAAAACTACCTTTGCTGAAGGTGCCAGGGACCATCCTAGCTTCAGGAAGCAAGGCTCCCACGGCCTGCTCAATGCACGGGGGTCCCCCCCAGCCCTCCTCCTCCTATTTCTTCCCTCTCCGCCCCCCCAAGGATTCCCTTCAGCCTGCAAGGGGTGGGGGCTGAGCCAAAGGTAATGGAGCTGAGCTGTTCAGGGCTTCCTGAAAGCAGGCGAAGCAACTGGGAACAACGTTCAACCGAAAGAAGGGAAGGCTGAGGGAGGCATAGGACTGTTCTTCCAGTACAGGAAGGGGTGCTGTGGACTTATTCTCCAGAATGACCAAGTTTAAGACAGGGACTGGCCAGGGGTGGGGAGAATCCAAACCTGGAGGCAAGAGGAGGGACAGGCAAGAAAGCCCCCGAAATCGTGGATGCCGCTTCATGGGAGATTTTCAAGGGGTGATTGGAGCGCCATTCCTTTGGGATGGTCTGAACTGGGTAAGGGAGGTTTCTTCCAATCTTAGGATTCTATTAATCTCACAGTCAACAGCACTGTTGGGAAACTTAGCTTTCAAACTTTCAAAATGTTAATTCTTGGTTCTTTAATGTATCAACATTCTAATGTATTTTTACCATGTTGTAATCTGCCCAGATGACAGTGAGGTGGGTGCATACAAATTTAATAAACCACCCCCGGAAGAAAACCTTTGTAAAGCCTTCGGAAGTTGTGGGAGCTTCATCACTTGAGACTTTCAAGAAAAGATTGGACTGCCATTTGTCAGAAATTGTGTAGGGTCTCCTTCTTGAGCTGGGGGTTGGACTAGATGACCTATGGGGTCCCTTCCAACTGTTAATCTGTTAAAATCTGCTTAGAAACCTACATTCTTTGTATTCAGTATAAATTAAATAGTAATTAATCCATGGCAGAGATTGCTGCTGAGAAAGAACCATTTTGAGGGTATAATTTTAATTCCTTTTTAAATTAAGGGATTTTCAAGGGAAGATCTAAAAAACACAGAGAGCTGCATAGGGGAGGACAGCCCACCTTGCACAGCCTCCGGTATCATGCAATGATTAACCAGATGCCTTCAGGAAATCAGTGTGGACAAGAGGACAAAAGAAAATATCCTTTAAAGCTAATGCTACTTCTCTGAATAGAACCACTTTAGGAGCTAGCAGAGCTAATGCAACTTTGGAACTATTTAGACCTGCAGGTCTCCATCAGCCCTTGTGCAACTGCACCGGTCGGGGAGATAAAACAGGATGAAAACATCCCACCAAGTCATCACTGGCAACCAAGGCAGAGGACACGTCGGGCTTTTACCTTCCATCCTGGAAAATACAGGAGGTGCAAAGGAGGCCTCTCCCTTGGATGCGGCAAGGATGAAATAATGGGAGCACTTCAGGTGCCATTCCTGGAAGAACAGAGAGGTCGCCATAGGCTCTCAGTCACAACAAACCCCTCTACACATTGGGGCATTCTGAAGACTTGAGGAAACAGACTTGCAGCAAACAAAGGTTAGAAACACTTTGTGCGCTTCTATGATAAGCTAAATGTCATATTGTCGCACACTCAAATGCAATTGCTTTAGTACTGCAAATAGGAATTATTTTATATCCTACGTTAAGATTGTACTGGTGTCCTGTATATCATATTTTGGTTGCACCAGATGAAAATACTCTTCTGCCGCCATCCTACTCTATTTCTACGCTGGCCATGGAGAAAAAATCTTTTGGTCTTGTGGCCGGCTGCAAGCCACCTCGCCTCCCTCTCTACATTCTGCACCCACCAGACAGAGGGCAGACCAACCTCAAATTCGTCAAAGGGCTCCAGAGCTTGAATCCTCTTCTGCTCTTCTCCAGGCATAAAGGTCCTATAGAACTCGTTCATGTCCATGATGTGGCATTCCGTCCAGCCCTAAAGAGAAGGCCGTGGCATTAAGACCAAGGCACAGCCATCCCATTGGCCCACTCCGGTCTCCCTTCCACCAGTCCAAGGCTCACACCCACCCTCTGGAGAAAGCGCATCTGTTGAGCCTTGCAGTCTGGGTAGGAGGTTAGGGAGCGGAGCGGACACTGTAGATGGCTGAAATGATTTTGCATGATACGGCCAAAAGGGTCGCTGGGATGAATCTGCTCGTACAGAATGAACCAGGCCCTCAGAAAGTGCCCAGCTGCCCACTGAATCAGAGCATCTGACCTGGAATGAACCAGAAAGAAGGGGAAGTGCAGCAAGGAAGAGCCCAGACCATTCAACCGGAGGCCAGGGAGCCATCTGACTCCCAAACAAGTCCAAGCTGTGAGAATCTTCAGGACCATTCACATTTGCCCAGTTCAAAGCTGGAAATGGATCTGAGACCTCTACAAGAGATCCCACCTGGCAAAGCTTGGAAATACCTTCTTCTGAATATCCCTGAGGAGATGATGCAGTGGGATTAAAGGGAAAGCAGAAGGATCCATGGATCCAAAACTGCTGCCACAACAGAAAACTGTTTTTTAAGAATAGTTGTACTCTATCTTATTTTGACTTTGTGAGGCAGCAACCAGAGGAGGGGAAGGCTTCCAGTCTCCTCCTATTCAATCTTGAGGTGACTAGGCTGCAATTTTCAGCAGTAATTGTTGCAGGGAGCAGATTTCCAACAGTCTCTATGTGAGCGTGGAAACTAATGTCTCGGCTCAAAATAGCTCAAAATATTGAGGTACGGCTCTCAGGTATGAAAATCTGGCTGGGAAGTTAGCTTGGTTCTACTTGTAGCTCAAAAGTACAATTACTTGGTAAACTGCATGGTAGTTAATATTCACCAAATCAGCGGAATGCAAAAACAAAAAGAATATACAGCGAAAACACTACTTACAAAGCATGTTAAATCTAATACGCGAAACACAACACAATCGTGACTCTTTTGCCCTAACCTTGGAAAGCCACAATCTGCTGAGATTTAACACAAAACCTGCCTTCTCAGGTGCAGGCCAGGCGCCCCGCTGGGGCGGGCTTTACCGGACGGCCGCAAGGACCAAAGCACGAACCTCTCCACCTGCATGTAGGGCAGGACCACCTCCGCAAGGATCAGGGTGGGCGTCGCGGGATCCAGGCCGGCGCCACGCAGGGCCCCTTCCAGCAGGGCCAGTTGGGAGAGATCCACGCCCAGGAGCCGGTAATCATCCCCGGAATACTTGACGCTTCCTACAGGGAAGGCAAAGCGCGCTCGGTGCCGGTCCAGGCGGCTCCCTTCCTCCTCCCCTCCTCCGCATACCCACCGAGATCCTCGCGGACGCCGCCTCCCGCCAAGGCGCGCAGCTCCGCCGAGCCGGAGATCAGGGCCGCTTTGCGGGAGGCCACCTCGGGGAGGTCCACCTCGAAGAACCGCCCGCCGCTTCCCGCCAGCAGCCCCGCGTCCTTCAGGCAGAAGTAGAGCGAGTCCCAGCCGGCGCCCAGAGACACCACCTGTGGTGCGGGAGGGACGGGGTCAGACGGCGCTGCGGAGGGAGGGAGGGAGGGAGGGAGGAGGAGGGAGGGGCCCGAACTTGCCTGACTGCGCGGGTGGCCCCGAGTGCCCATCAGGAAGGCCCGCAGGCTCCGCTCCACCGCTCGGGCCCGGATGTGGTAGCCCCTGGGGGGGGGGAGAGAAGAGCGTGAGCGGCGCCCCCCCCCGTTTCCCCCGGAGAGGAGAGCCGCGCCCACACGCCCCCTCCTCCCCCGGAAGCGCCGAGCGGGTCGGGGCCCCTCACCGGTGGATGGCGGGGGCGCGGCGCGGGCCTCCCCGGGGCAGCAGCTGCAGCACGAAGCGGTCCGAGGTGTAGCCCAGGGCGGCGGCTGACCTCTTGCTGGCGGCGCTGCTGTCGCCGGTGCCGCTCACCCGTGGGGAGGGCCGGGAAGGGGGGGCCCGCGCGTCCCCGCCGCTCTCCCGCCGCTCCCGCCCCCGCTGCCCGCCCATGTGCTCAGCTGCCAGACGGAGGTCGCCTCTCGCCCCCTCCCCAGGCCGACTTCCGGTCCTCCCTCCACTTCCTGTCCGTACGACCTTCTCGGCATGGCGGACTTCCTGTCTCCGCCTTCCTCTCCGCTCTTTCCAGCACGGCTCACTTCTTTTTCCTGTCCTCTTATTCCTCTCCGTACAGCCGGGGTTACCTTCGGAGTGCTTGTTTAGGTTGGGCCCTCGTGGTGGGAAGGCCGGAATGGCCAGGCCGCAAGAAGGAGAAAAAACCTGGCAGTGCCGCAAGGACCAGCCCCGCATTTCCTGACTCCCGCAGTCGACTGAGGAGCAGCCTGGTGGAAACAGCCCCTGAAGTCTATAGTCTCTTCCCTCCCCCCCATTACTTAGTTAGCAGTCACCTCATTCCCCCCCCCCCGCCACTCATTTTCTCATCGCCCATAATATGGCCGCCCGCATGTTCTTGGCTTTTCGCTGCGTCTGTATGGAAGCGGCTGACAACCGGTGGTGGTGGCTCCACCAGATATTTGGAGACTTGGTCTCTTTGTACCCTTTCCATTTGGAAAAACGACTGGCCGCGTGGGGAACATAAAGTTCATTTGTTTGAATCGCACGCTTCAGGATTGTGCCAAAGGCACCAGCTGCCTGCAATTACTGCAGGGTTCGAATCTCGCCAAGGCTCAAGGTCGACTCAGCCTTCCATCCTTTCTAAGGTAGGTAAATTGAGGACTCAATTTGTGGGGGCAATAAGCTGACTTTGTCTAAATATACAAAAGGATGAAGGCTATTGCTTAGCACATTGTAAGCCGCCCTGAGTCTTCGGAGAAGGGCGGCATATAAATCAAATTAAAAAAAAAACAAAAAAACCTGGACCTTGTTTTTCTTTCAAGACGTTTCGCTTCTCATCCAAGAAGCTGCTTCTTCTTTTTTTATTTTTTTAAATTGATTTATATGCCGCCCTTCTCCGGAGACTCAGGGCGGCTTACAATGCGTTAAGCAATAGCCTTCCTACTTTTGTATATTTATACAAAGTCACCCACAAACCGGGTCCTCATTTTACCCACCTTAGAAAGGATGGAAAGCTGAGTCGACCTTGAGCCTGATGAGATTCGAACTTACAGTAATTGCAGACAGCTGATGTTAATCACAATGCTATTAGTCTGCTGAGCTACTAGGCCTTCTGAGCTGAAGAAAAAGATACCACGAAAAATAGTGTTATGCCACTGACATTAGTTAAAATTAAGTATTTGGATAAGTTTCAGGTTGAAGCTCGGTCCCTGTTCTTAAATCCTCCGAGAGTCCAGCAAAGAGCTGCTGTCCAGGGTGCTGTTCCACAGACCGGCAGCTGTGCAGAGAAGGTCCTTTTCCTAGCCTAGGGGCACTTCAGTTCCTGGCCAGAGGGAGATTCAGAAAGGACCTGCAGGGCCATCTAAGCAGCAGTAGCAGAACCCAGAATGGAAGGGAGGAGGCAGCAGTGGCACATGAAGCACAGGGTTGGTCCGATAGTTTGGGTTGAGTTGGCACTGTTGTTCCAAGCATATTGGCAACTTCAGTGGTTGTGTTTTGTTTGTCTTTTCTCTAGCACCCTTTTGGGGGCAAGAAGCAGTCTACATAATACCTGTTTTCCCCACTTACTTAGAACTTAGCTCAAGTTCAGCCCTTCCAAGACTGAGTGGCTGTGGTTCCCGGCATCCCGATATAGTCAGTTGACTCCATCACTGACTATTGGGGGTGAGTCTTTGGCCCCTGCGGAGAGGGCACGCAATATGGGAGTCCTCCTGGATACGCAGCTGTCCTTGAAGGAACATCTGACGGCTGTAGACAGGGGGACCTTCTGTCAGGTCCGCCTGATTCGCCAGTTGCGGCCCTTTCTTGATCGGGATTCCTTGTGCACAGTCACTCACGCCCTCGTCACCTCACGCCTGGACTACTGCAACACTCTCTACATGGGGCTCCCCTTGAGGAGCACCCGGAGGCTCCAACTGGTCCAGAATGGAGCCGCGTGGGTAATCACGGGAGCCGCCTGGCGCTCCCACATAACACCGCTCCTGCGTGAGCTGCACTGGCTCCCAGTGGTCTTCCAGGTACGCTTCAAGGTGTTGGTTATCACCTTTAAAGCGCTCCATGGCATAGGACCTAGTTATCTTCAAGACCGCCTGCTGCTATCGATGACCTCCCACCGACCCGTGCGCTCCCACAGAGAGGGCCTCCTCGGGGTGCCATCAGCCAAACAATGCAGGCTGGTGACCCCCAGGGGGAGGGCCTTCTCTGTGGGGGCACCTACCCTCTGGAATCAGTTGCCCCCAGATATAAGGAGAATCCAAGACCTCGGTGCCTTCCGCCGTGCCCTTAAAACTTTCTTTTTTCAGCAAGCCGGGCTGGCTTAACATATTTTTTAACACTTTTTAAATTTTTAACTGGTTTGTTATCTTAAATTGGGGCCAAATTAATATATATCCTTTTAATAGTTTTTTTAATGTTTGTATTGTATGTTTTTATCTGGCTGTACACCGCCCTGAGTCCCTCGAGAGAAGGTGCGGTATATAAATTCGAAATAAAATAAAAAATAAACTAGGCCGCTTGATGGATGCAGATAGATCTCTTCTGTGAAGGCCTTACATCAGCCTGCATTCTGGGAAAGAGGACGGGCGGGGCGGGGTGGGTGGGACAGCGAGTGCTTGAAGTTTAGAGTTAATGAGTGGGATTGTTTTGTGTTATGTTTCCTGATTGGCTCCACTGGCCCAGTGATGTTGATACCAGCCTCTCAAGCCGTAAGAAGCTAGACTGTCTTTTCCCATCAGGACATTCCATCCGTTGGTGTCTCCTGGAAGAGGCAGAACCGAGGAGGCAATTGCACTTATCATAGCAGTAACTTCTTGAGAAATGCTGACAAGAACATTTGTTTTTAGTGGTTCGGGGTTTTTTGTAGCAGAGTAAATGTGTTCCGCTGGAGTCGTCCTCTCAGAAGACATTATGAAACAATGTTATGATATTTATATAGTTATTTACCAAGCATATTTAAATTATATTAAAGTAACCAAAATATATTTACAATCCCCAAGCCATGTCACACTTTTGAGCACCCCTAATGTTTGGAAATTGAAAGCTGAAAAATTTGACACGCTCTATGAATACTTCATGTTTCTGGGACTTTTCTGTGTTCAGAGACCTTATTTTTGCCATAATTTGTGTTTTTGGGTTATTTTAATTATTGTGAAGGAGAGAGGCCCAAGCCACTTTAAAGCGCAATCATGAAAATAAGAGGAAACACACCCATATTTTACAGGTCTGCCCAATCCAATCACAGAAGACCGAAGTTGCCACTCCACCGTCTCAGAGGGGACCTGACTTTGAAACCCCCGCGTGCAGCCGAGGGAAGAATATGGAATGTTGAACAGGGAAATGCTTTCAGGGTATAACAGGTTTTGTTTATTTGCATGCTATTAATTGTTGTTGCACATTTGGCAACCACACACCTTTATACTTCATGGAATTAAGGAAAAGTACAAATAATTCTATATAATTAGCAAGGAAGGAGAAAATCATTCAGGTGGCTTGCAGAAAGTCTGAGCAAAGCGACGAAAATGTCGGTGAGGGAGAAAAGTCACTTTGGTAGGTCTTGAGGCATAGCATAGAGAGTGCAATGTACAAATGAAGAACAGTGGATAAATCAAGGGAAACATCACACATTCTTGTGAAAAATTAGCCTGCATTTCTGTTTTCATTTAGTGCAAGAAAAAGAGCAATCCTCCTGAAGCTTGCGGGGGTGACCTTGGAGGCCTAGGTCTGCACGGAAGGAAGCACTAAGGTGCATTTATCCAAGCAGCAGCTACATCAAAAACACCTTTATGCAAAAGGCACTATTAAATGATGTTGACCAGCTGGACTCTGCTAAAGTTCTCCATGCCTCTCAATTAAAAGGATACACCATACAATTGTCAAGTGACAGAACTGTCCAGTAAACGCTACTTGTGCAATCCACAACAACTTGGTCCGTGAATTGTCAGACAACCATGAATTTTGCACCCACCGGCTATCCTCAGCCTTCCGAGAGAAGAAAAGGTCCTAATATCACCCTTTGACACCTTCAGTGGCTTGGCACCCACCTCTCTGAATGTGCCCAGCAGGACAGGACTTTCAGAAGATGCTTTTGTTCTGCGACGCCATGTCCGCAAACATAGGGGCAACTTCAGTAGATGTTTTGACTTTGTCTTTTCTTTTGCCCCCTTTTGGTGAAAAAAGCTGCCCGTATAACACCCATTTCTTCCATTTTCTAGAACCGGTCTGCTTGATGAATGCAGGTAGAGTTCTGCCGAGAAGACGTTACATCAGCCTCCCTTTTGGGAAAGAGAAAGAGTCGAGCATGTTACTGCCAAGATAACTATCCTATTCTTTGTGCGGGGGGGAGAACGAGAGCTTGGAGTTTAAAGGTAAGGAGTTGGTGTTTTGTTACATTTCTAAACGAGCGCCACTGAACCAGTGATGTAGATAACTGCCTCTCAAGCCCTAAAAAACTAGACTTTTCCCAACAGGACTCCACATCAGTTGGTGTCTTCTGGGAGAGGCAGAAGCGAGAAGGTCATTGTGGTTCCCTGAGTTCTATTTGAAAGGTTGAGAATAACTTTTGTTTTCAAAGGAGAAAAAAAGGCATTTGGCTGGAGTCTTCCTCAGAAGACAATTACACCCGCGTGTTTCAGGGATTAAGGAAAGAGCTGCCCTAGATCACTGCAGATCTTGCTGCTGTTATCATGGAACCTGAGAAAGGGAGTTTCCAAACGCCTGGTGAAGAATTTGCTTCTTTCCACGATAGAGTGAGATGGGGGAGGAGGGCATAGAATAGAGTGAAGCCTGGAGTCACGGTGGGAGGCAGAATCTGGCTCTAGCAGGGAAGGAAGGAGGATGGGTGGGAGATAGCTTTCCTCTTTTTATGTGTTGGAATCTGAGGGGACCTTTGAATGGAAAGCTGGCACTGCTTTCCTAAGACTATTTAAGGAAAGCGGTCCTTTTGAAATTTTTGTTTCCCTTCCTTTGGTGGCGCCACCGCTTTTCCTTGCCGCCTTCTTACCAGCAGCATCTTCTCAGGTTTTGATATTCCGAGTGCTGGGATGCCTGGATTCTGGCAGTACCACTACTGGGCATGGACTCTCTAATCTTGCCACTCTTTGTGGCTCAAGTATACCGCCTGTCTGATGGTTTTGTTCCCTTCCTTGACTTTGATGTTGCCGTTGCTTTTCCTTGCTTCCAGCTTACTGCAGAATCTTCCTAGGCTCTAATGTTCTGGCTGTGCCACCACTGGGCATTGACTCTCTGATCTTGCCACTCTGTCCATTAATTGTACCATCTCTCTCATGGTCGCTGTTTCAATAGTGTATACATGCTAGAAATTCCAGCACATTCCAAGACTGCGCTATTTGGAACTTTGTCCTGCCAGGTGATGCCAAGAATTTGTCGGAGACAGCGCATATGAAAGGTGTTCAACTTTCTCTCCTGCCGTGCGTTGAGGGTCCAAGACTCACTGCAGTACAAGAGTGTGCTGAGGACGCAGGCTCTATAGACCTGGATCTTTGTATGTTGAGTCAGCTTCTTATTAAGCCATACTCTCTTTGTAAGTCTGGAAAATGTGGTGGCCGCTTTACCAATACGTTTATTCAGCTCAGTATCTAAAGAGAGAGTGTCAGAGATAGTTGGGCCGAGGTACACAAAGTCATGGACGACCTCCCGTTCTTGTGCAGAGATTGTAATACAGGGAGGTGAATCCACGTCCTGACCCATGACTTGTGTTTTTTTTCAGGCTGATTGTTAGTCCAAAGTCTTGGCAGGCCTTGCTAAAACCGTCCATAAGTTGTTAAAGGTCTTCAGCAGAGTGAGCAGTGACGGCAGCATCATCAGCGAAGAGGAGATCCCGTAAGCATTTCAGCTGGACTTTAGACTTTGCTCTCAATCTAGAGAGATTAAAGAGTTTTCCGTCTGATCTGGTCCAGAGGTAAATACCCTCTGTTGCAGTTCCAAAAGCATGTTTCAGCCTGACAGCAAAAAAGATCACACTGAACACAGAAATGGTGGTAGACTTTAGGAGAAACCCTTCCATACTTCCACCTCTCACAATACTAGACAACACAGTATCAACAGTAGAGACCTTCAAATTTCTAGGTTCTACCATATCGCAAGATCTAAAATGGACAGCTAACATCAAAAACGTCATCAAAAAAGCACAACAAAGAATGTTCTTTCTGCGCCAACTTAGAAAGCTCAAGGAGCTGCTGATCCAGTTCTACAGAGGAATTATTAAGTCTGTCATCTGCACCTCTATAACTGTCTGATTTGGCTTTGCAATCCAACAAGACAGACACAGACTTCAGAGGATAATTAGAACTGCAGAAAAAACAATTGTTACCAGCCTGCCTTTCATCAAGGACCTGTATATTGCACGAGTCAAAAAGAGGGCTGTGAAAATATTTACAGACCCCTCACATCCTGCACATAAACTGTTTCAACTCCTACCCTCAAAACGACGCTATAGAGCACTGCACACCAGAACTAGACAAAAGAACCATTTTTTCCCGAACGGCATCACTCTGCTAAACAAATAATTCCCTCAACACTGTCAAATGATTTACTAAGTCTGCACTACTATTAATCATCTCATCGTTCCCACCACCTATCTCCTTCCACTAATGACTGTAAGACTGGAATTTTGTTGCTTGTATCCTTATGATTTATATTGATATTGTTTTCTGATTGCTTATTTGTACCCTATGACTATCATTAAGTGTTGTCCTTTATGATTCTTGATGAACGTATGTTTTCTTTTATGTACACTGAGAGCATATGCACCAAGACAAATTCCTTGTGTGTCCAATCATACACGGCCAATAAAAAATTCTGTTGTGTTGTGTTGTGTTGTGTTGTGTTGTGTTGTGTTGTGTTGTGTTCTATTCTATTCTATTCTATTCTATTCTATTCTATTCTATTCTATTCTATTCATTCTATTCTATTGAAGCTATTTAGGCTTTTTACCTGGGCTGCTGCATCCCTCGCTTGAGCTCCAGAAGCCTGAGATGTTTCTTCCCCAGATTCCTCTTCCTCTCCCCCACAGGCTGTCTCTTCTGGATCCAGTCTGGGGTAGTCTCCTCCCTTCCCCACAGGGAATACATAAGACTCACGGTTTTTCCGGCTTTCCTCGGCATCGCGGAGGAGTTGCATCGCCTGAGCAATCATGAGGCTCTCCTTTTGCTCTTGCAGCCACACCGCCTCTCCCATACGAGGTCTGGAGCTGGTTACTCCTTGGGGGGTCCTCCCCAGGTCCGGCAACTTTCCTACTCCCCTCAACCATCTAGCTTCCTCTGGCTCCTCTCTCAGCCGACTTTTTTCCATCCATTCTGCAGCTTCCTTCTCTGCTTGAAGTGAAGTTATAGTAGAGCCAGAAGCTCCCCTCTGGTCTCCTTCACTCTCTTGGTCAGACATATTTTGGGTTCAGCCCCCTCGGTGTTTATCCAGGATGGCTGGAGAAGAGATTCTGCTTAATGTCAGGTGTGCTTCCTTCAAAGTCCAGGAAAGAATGACCCAAACTCCATTGTTTATAGAGAAAGGTACTTTTACTAGAAAATGCAGTGAACGCAACCAAAGGAAAGCAGAATCTAAGGCAATAAGCGTGAAAATTGCATATAGAAAGCATCCCCTCCCACTGTCCACCGTAAATCATCCAATCCAGGGGTCAGGTGGAAGCACACATCTGGCAGCGTCATCAATCAGGAATGCCACGACCGTTGACCTGACGGCAGCTTCAAAGATACAGTCCTATGGCTTAACTATCGCTTTCAATTCCTCCAGCACGCTCCCCCCCATGCTACCCAGCTCTCCCCCCTCCTGTTACTATGGCAGCCAAAGCAGTAAAGGCGGAGGCTGACAACGTGGTTCTTGTGTACCTATTCTGCAGACCACGGGGAACGGAAAACAGCGCCATCCTATGGTCCAAAAAGGAATAGCAGCCACCAAAATTCCTTTTTAATGGGATTTTAAGTTTATTATTCTGTATCTTTGTTATTAATGCTTATTAACAATAATGCAGCAAGAGTATCACGGGCTGTAACACAGACACAGAAGAAGGAATCCAGTTTCAAAAGACTTAAACCAAGTTTAAAAGGTGTACAATAGCTTCAATGCTATAATGAAAGTCCTAGGTCATTTCTTCAAAAAGTAAAAATCTGGACCAGTTTGTTTTAAAAAAATCGGTATACGAGGACTTGCCTTTTATGCAAGTATACAATAGAAAGCATATCACGAAAGTACTCGCACATTTCAAGAAAGATGCAGACCTAAGCGGTAGAGAGTAGCTTAACCAAGTTATTGAGAAGGAATACTTTGTCGAATAAACTTCACAGGCAACCCATATCGTTTGATCCTTTCCTTATTGACGCACATACCCAATGTACGTATCAGTTGTTTCTTTACACTATAAAAAGACTCAACCCGCCCTTGATGAACACTTTTAGCTCTGCCTGAATTTCTTAGCAATTTGTATTTTCAGGAGACCGGGAAGCCCCTTTCACAAAGGTAAAGGTGTACGTTTTCTCTCCCAAATTTGAGGAATAGGACTTTGGTTCCACGCATGTTCAGGGGCCTGGGTTTTGAGACAATGCCAGGTTCCCGGTAATCGGGATGTCCGTTTTTCAGCAGGAAGCATTTTGAAGAGCTGCACCTCACCCGTCCCACTTTTCCTTTTTAATTTGAGCTGATGTAGAGACCGACTCTCCTGCTCCGTCAGGTTTTCCGCAGCGTTTATTACGGAACCAGTATGTGTGGAAGGGAAGCCCACAAGCAAAAGAGACAGACAGTTATTTATAGATTTAGAAAGGGGAAAATAACGGCTGCATAGTTACCGATAATAGATGAGGTATTAATTCTTTGCATCCCTAGGAAAGCAGTAGAGCCTGGGACTTGGCCAACTGCCCACGTTTACATAAATTGTTTTCTTTCTAAGACCTTCAAAAAGCACCACCCAGTTCCATGTCTAACCTACAGGTAGTCTCGACTTATGACAACAGAGTCCCATTTTTTTTCTCGGTAGGCAAGACCCAAAAGGGGATTCCACGAGCACACCAGGCACCAAGCATCCCAATTTCTATCACCTGACTGTGGGGATGCCACAGCAGTCTGTGAAAAAGTCTAGGTCACTTTCTTTAGCGCAGTCGTAACTAAGCAGTCACTAAAGGAACGGTTGTAAGTGGAGGTTATCCAAGTGAGGAAGACGGTCCATCAGCAAGCAAATAGCCAACGGGAAAAGGAACGATTTACCGAAGTATAGGGGGGGTGGGGAAAGGTAAAAATGCTTTTTACGGACAATGATGTTTTATTGTTTAGGGGGAAAAGCAAATCAGGGAGGGCAACCCAGTGACAATTCTCATATCCCCCCCCTTCCTCCGCTTTTACCCAGAATGGCGGAGGCCGAGAAGCGAAGCCCCGCAGTTCAGAAGGGCAGGAAAAGCACCGCCACTCTATGCTCGTCTTACGGGGACGATCCGCTTATGTTGCCCTTCTCCGCATGGCTGCCGACTTGTGCACTGGTCCTTCTTTGAGTGACCTTCCCAGTATGGCCGACTTCCTTTGTGCCCTTCTCAGTCGTCCCCCCCCAACTTCCTTTCGCAGCGATCTTCTCGGCACGGCGCACTTCCTGTCCGTTCAATGGGCCGTCCTTCAGTGCCGTTGATAAACGAGCTTCCCAGCATAGCCGACCTCTTGTCCACCTTTTTGAGTCTCCCCCCCTCTCCAACTTCCTTCCACAGTGGGATTTTAAGTTCATTATTCTGTATCATTATTATTAAACGCCTCATTATTAACAATACGGCAACAGGAGGCCCAGGGGCGACTACAAGGAGAGAAGGAATCCCACTTCAAAAGAAACATAAACTGAGTTAAAAAAGCGTAGATAGTTGCAATGGTAAGGGACAGAAAA